AAAAAAAAAAAAAAAGAAAAGAAAATCTGAATAACACAATTAAAGATCTGTTGGCTATTCATGGATCCCCATACCCAGCTATGTGAGCGTACGTTCAGGCATATTGCCTCCCTTATTAAGCCACAAAGCACATCTCTATAAATAAAAAGACACAATATCCTATAGAACAAATTCTCTGACCAGGAGGCACCTAAATTAGAAATCAATAGCAAAACACCCTGTACACTAAGGTTTGGAGAGCTATGGAGTTTCAGCCGAGGACCAAGCCTGCTGAGGACCACTGGGTGAATCAGCCTTCCTTCCTGCCGCTTCTGTGGCTTTCAGAGAGGTGGCTTGAGAGAGGCTGATTCAGTACTATGCACACCATGGGCTTGGAGAGCTACCCTGTGAGGGCAGAAGATGCCTTGAACTATACTCAGAAGGTCTCAGCTTTTGGTTCAGCTGCCCATTCTCCTCTGTGCCTGCTGACCCAGGCCTGATGCCCTGCCAGGACACCCACATAAATGCCTTTGGTGCAGGCAATGACACGGTGACATGGGGCAACCTTAGAGGGAGAATGGTATAGATCAAAGGGCACCATGAGCTCTGGAAGAGGACAGTCCTGGGCTTGAAGCCACCCTCTGCCAGTTACTAGACCTCTTTGAATGAGTTACTTAACCTGTGAACATCTCTGCTTACTTGTCTGTAATTTGGAAGTAGAAGTATTTACTTTGTTTATTTTTTAATGTTTGTCCACTTTTGAGAGAGACAGAGACAGGGTGCAAGCAGGGGAAGGGCAGAGAGAGATGGAGATACAGAATCCAAAGCAGGCTCCAGGCTCGGAGCTGTCAGCACAGAGACCCACACGGGGCTCGAACTTGTGAACCACGAGATCATGACCTGAGCCGAAGTTGGACACTTAACCGACTGAGCCACCCACCCAGGCGCCCCCAAAGTATTTACTCTGAAAGGTTGTTAGGAATATTAAATAATGGATGCCAAACCCGTGGGTACTTAGAAGAGGCCAGTATCCTGCCCAAATATAAACCAACAGCAACACTGCCGTGCTGAGCTGTGCAGGATGGACATGAGCGGCAGCTTGCTCACTGGTACTGACATGGATCAGCCGTGCAGGGACTGGCAGGGGGACTTGACGGGGCACCCTCTCACTCTGACAAGATGCGTCCATGAGCAATCCTAACAGTAGCAGCTCCTGCTCTCTGAGACATGACCCTGGGCGCCTGTGAGAATCTTTTCTGACCATTTCATGCTGTTGTTCCTTTCTAAGTGGTTTGTTTATATTTTCTGCCCCTTTGTGTGAAGACTGTTTAGCTAACCCCAGACTTCTCACTCAGCATTGTATTCTGAAAAGGAATACAGATTCCCCGAGGCTCCACTCCAATGGGGCTTTTCTTCCCCACCCCATCCCCACTCTGTGGATTTTTATTATTACAGACCTTGTGCCTTTTAAGCTCCTGTTTCCTTAGGTAGAAACAATCATAGCAGAGTTCCACTGCTGTCCAACCTGCCACGTCCTGCATTCCTGGCTCGAGGTCGACTGTTCTCTGCCGGGTACTAATAAAGGGGTCTGCAACCTTCCATGCTGTACTTTGATGATGCAGGAGCCCAGCTTGCACACAGTACACACAGACTAGTGTCATGTGACTTGACTGTACCGTGACAACCGTAAGCACCTTTCAATAGTGCCTACTACCAGGCACTACATTTCCTTACATACACACACTGGAATACTACTTGGCAATGAAAAAGAATGAAATCTTGCCATTTGCAACAGTGTGGATGAAGCTACAATGTATTATGCTAAGGGAAATAAGTCAGTCAGAGAAAGATAAATATATGATTTCACTCATACGTGGAACTTAAGAGACAAAATAGATGAACATAGGGGAAAGGGGGGAAAAACAAGATAAAAAGAGAAAGGGAAGCAAACCATAAGGGACTCTTACCTAAAAAGGACAAACTGAGGGTTGCTGGAGGGGAGGTGGGTAGGGGGATGGGCTAAATGGGTGACGGGCATTAAGGAGGGCACTTGTTGGCATGAGCACCGGGTATTATATGTAAGAGATGAATCACTAAATTCTACTCCTGAAACCATTATTACACTATATGTTAACTAACTTGGATTTAAAATAAATAAATAATAGTGCCTACTATCAGGCACTACTTTTTCTAAGGACTTCACACATAGTTAATTTTCATAATACCTCTATCAGATAGTTACTACAATTATCCTAATTTTACAAATGAGGAAATTAAAGTACAGAGAGGCTAAGTAACTTGTCTAAAATCACACAGCAATTTCATGGGAGAGTCAGGGTTTGAACTAGGTAACTCAGCTCTGGAAGCCTGTCCTAGGTTATATAACGTTAGCACTCAAAAGGCTGTGAAGTCCTATTACCTCATTTAAAAATGAGATTGCTAGGGCCTGGGTTCAAAAATGACTTGAGTAACATGATTTAGATGGGCTAATTAACTGACAGAACTTAACTAAGAACATGATCCACTTTTTCCTTAAGGGGTGGAGAAGAGAATCGATGATAGTAACAGTTATAAACAAAGAGGCTTCTCAGGGATGTAAAATAATTGAGTTCAATTTTGGGTACCTCCGTTCATGTTAGACTAAGGGTAGTTTCATGTCCATTATTTGTGCAATTTTGCGACAGTGCTGTGAAGATGTTGTCTCCGGTGTCTACCCATGTGGCAGATGGCGTTAAGGGTGACTTAGCCCCTTACTCCAGGCCTCCTGACAGTAAGAGTTAAAGTTGAGACACAATCTCAAGACGCCCCCACTTGTTGAACCACACCCACTCTCCACACTCCTCTTATTCCAGTCCCACAGCCTTAGCTCTTAACTGCAGCCATTGTGAACTATGTTCAGGCTGCAGTGGACCACGTGACCACTCCCAGGCAAGTTATGAGCTTCCTCCCTCCTCTGCTCCTACCTTTTCCCTGTGTCTCACCAAGTCCCACTCCTCTTCAGTCTCCATGTAGATGTCCCTTTCTCCAGGGGCCTTACTCCCCTCCGCCCCCCCCCCCCCCCCCCCCCCCCCCCCCCAGGGTAAGTGCCCCAAGGCTGTTCTCCAAATGCCCTGCACTTTCCCCTTCCAGGCCCAACAGCACAGCTGCCCTGCTAGACTGAACCCTCCTGGACACAAGGGCACGTCTGTTTTGGAAGGCAGCACAGGGAGTGGGTTAGGGCCTGGCTTCTGGGATCAGCCTGGGTTATCCTTCCTAGGTCCAACAGTGGATACTAGGTGTGTGAATGCATCTAAGTTACAATAGCCAAAGGCCTCATCTATTAATACAGGGTCATAATAATCAGCACCAGATACACGTTTGGTAAAGACTTAATTATACAGTAATGTATATAAAGCTGCTGGGGGAATGTCAGGCGGGTAAACACTCAGGACATGCTACCATCGCTGTACCTCCCATGTGTGACACAAAGAGACACCTAAGAATACTCGTGGAATGAAAGAATAAATGAATGGGTCGGATTTCAAATGTTCCTATTTTCTTTAGGCTTTTAACACATTCATTTGTGTTATTTAGATACAAATGGCTCCTCTCTGTCAACTTCACAAATCGTGTTTGGAAGGTCTGATGTTCTTAAAGTTATTTCTCGAATGAAAATAGGAAGGAAATAACCTGTGTTTCCTCCTGATGGAAAACTCTGAGACAGCCGCTTGCATGTGAAAATATTTCAAACTTCATTTATACCTCCCGACCCCCAAATGAAATCACCAAGGAGGTTTGAACAAATTGCTTTTTTTTTTTTTTTTTTTTTTTTTTTTTTGCATGATGCCATTGATAAAAAACAGTTTGGCCATGTGGAGTGTGTGAGCCAAATTAAGCATGTTTTGGCACATCGCAAATGGATTTTCCACTTCCTCCCCAGATGCACGAGTCAGCAGCAAGCAGGGATACATGTTTATCCTATCCTGCTGTGTCCCTGGGCAGACACCTCTGAGATCCCATTATGTGTTACTAGGGAATTAATAGTACCATGAAGACACTGTTGTAGAGGTTTTCCTGATTCACATAAAGGATATCACTTTCCTCACACCGTATTTCAGCTACTGGATGGTCGGTAAAAGATAGAGAATCCTTTCACCACCCTGAGATGTTGTTATTACAACGTAGGAAAGGGGGCACCTGGGTGGCTCAGTCACAGTTAGGCATCTGACTCATGATTTCAGCTCAGGTCATGATCTCACAGATCGTGGGGACGCAAACCCACAGCTTGGGACTCTTTCTCTCCTTCTCTCTGCCCCTCCCCCTCTTGTGCACACACCCTCTTTCTCTCTCTCAAAAACAAACAAATAAACATTAAAAAAAATGAATGCAGGAAAGAAAGTACAACCTATTTTTCTGTTTTGTATAAATTTTGTATACCGATTATGTTAATGAATGGTATTCAATTTTTTCCACAACTGAGTAGAAAATAGTCTCACTTAATTATTGCTTATTCCAGGACACTATGATAATTATTGAATGTTTACAATGAGCCAGATAGGTTGGTGGTCTTCTCATTTGATCCTCAAATGTACAGGGAAAAATCTCTATCCTGGTGATGCTTTTCAAAGGAGGAAACATGATTTCAGTGAAGTAACTTGCCTCCATGGTACCATTTGGTTGCACAGCCAAGCTCAAACCCACCCAAACTACCTTCACTGTGCCCTGGGCTGCTTTGCAGGGTTTCCATTGGAACTGTTCTGTTCCCAACAAGTGTTCGGAAACGGGGAGGGCGGTTCACAGTAAGTGGGAGGGATATACCGAGGGTCTTGCAGTGGTCATCCACACAGGCTCTGCAGTCGGATCACTTGGCTTCAAATTCCATTCCCAACATTTACAAACTGCTATTGTTATTATGTAACTTATTCTACAATGATTCATGTCACCCAAGCTTTTAGCAACACATCTGTGGTGTCAATCAAATCTTAATATGAATGCACTCATGGGAACTGGCTTTTGGTAGATACCTTATTTAAAACTGAATACAGTTTTGAAGGTATTGTTAGTGTGCTCGTTACACAAATGATGAAAAAAGAGACCAATAGGTGCTAAGTAACTTGCCCAAGGCCACAGAGCTGATAAATGGTGGAGATGGAATTAAAAGTCAGGGGAAAGGAGCCTAAAAGGCATCATCTCCACATTATCAAGTCTGCTTTTACCTCATGTAACTGAATTTAAGTTCTCCTTTACCTGTGCTGGCCTTGACTGTCAGTTTGGAACAGTCATTGGTCTTTGACTCCCAACGTTCTGATTGAATACTCTCTACAGGTTCTTCTTTCTACACTGTCAAGTTCAGCCCCAAGCCAGCCCGGAAAGAGCACAGCAGCACTTCATATTTCATTCCTATGAAGCCACTGGGGACAAATCTCAGATTATCTTCATTCAGAATGGGGAATTATCAGCAAAGAGACATAACTCTTTACACAGGTCAAATCCCGAATGACACAGGCAAAAAATAATAGAGTTGACTTTTTAGCCATGATAGCTTTGGCACACCTCACATCCCTTTGTTCAAACTCTCTCCCCTCAGCGGAGAGCTGCCTTCCTGGGAATGTCTGCTGTGCACTTTTCCCACTCACCCTTGTGTCATCTAAAGGTGAACATTGCAGTTTTGCTAAGAAAACCTTTTCCTTCATTTGTCATGAATAGCAATTTTATCATTTTTGACTTGAAAATGAGCTTGCTGCCTTCAAATCTTCTAATTACCAATGTTAGCAAATTCAAAGAAATGTTTTCAGGTGGACCCCAGCTTGGGGCTAATTCTCCACCCTTGCTACTGGAAGTGTGGTCCACAGCCCACAGGCACCTGATCACCAGGGGCATTGTTAGACATGTATGATCTCAGGACTCTCCTCAAGGACCTACTGAACCAGAGTATGCATTTTACCAAGATCTATGGGAAATTTATAAGCACGTTCAGTGTTGAGAAACACTGGTCTAAAACAATGCAGACTCCTATATATAAAAAAACAAACAAAAGCAAAAAACAAAACAAAACAACAACAACAACCACCTGCCAATAAGAGAAATGTGTAGAAGTGTGTTATTTATCTGGATCAGTTTTATGATTACAAACCAAACCCCGAAGAGTTCACACAGTCATTATCTCAAGAAATGACACATTCGCAGGCCACAGTCCCTGTGGTTATGATGACATCAATTTGGAAAGGACTCCTTCACTAAAGGTATGACCAGCCCAGTAAAAAGGGCTGATGACTGAGTGGCCAGATCATTTGAGTCAGAACAAGGAAAGGTCATCCCTGCTGGAATTCTGTACCATCTTCCCAGCAGGCAGCACCAAGATGCCAGAAGTCTACCTGCCTGGCCAGGCCTGGGAGCCCTGGGGTAAAATAGAATCGTTAAATTATGTTCACAACACTGTCTCCTCCAACTGCCATCAGGATTGGCCTAAAGATTTAGCTTAGAGCCACTTGTATCTTGGGAGAAAGTCTCTATCACATCACTGCCTTGGGGAGTGGTAGCAAAGAGTTATACATGACCCCCCTTCCCCCCTGGCCCCCAGCCCCCCCCCTGCGCCCTTTGCAAAAGGCCCTCAACATCTCCCTTCAAAGCTCTGGTGTTCTGTGAGCTAAGTGTGGTTATTCAACTTTCAAAATGAAATCATGGTCTCTTTCCAAGAACAGTATACCACCTGCAAAAAGGGCCTCAGTTCTTCATCCCTCCCTGTCACCATAATCTTTGCCATTTGGTTGTGTGATGCCCATCCATTCTGACTTTAGGTTCAGCTGTTTGACTTTCTTTGGGCAATAAAAAATGAGAGGGAAGTGAGAGTATATACTACTGAGACTGGGTTTCAAGAAGCCTTGTGTGTTTCCCTTTCTTCTCTGGCTCTTGTGCCATCTCTGTGAGAATATACCTAGGTTAGCCTGCAAAAGGATAACAGACACATGGAAAAGAGCCAGGCTGGCTCAGCCAAGGCCAGCATAATAAGCCTACAGGCAGCCAACATCCATCTGTGGGAATGCCCACTCGAGAATGGCAGAGCCACCTATCAGCCCCGCTGACTTACACTCATAAGCTATATGTGCTTGCTGTTGTATGTCACTGCGGTTTGAGGTCATGTGACACACAGCATTACTGTGGCACCAGAAAACTGATACATTAAGTCACCAATGAAGCTGAGTTATTGATAGATGCTTCCCCTTAAAATTTCTTATCTCTACCACACTTTCCCCTGAAAACATTCACTTCTGTTAAGAATACTCAGGGGCAAGCAAAACAAAGAATCAAATGAAAACTCAATGAGAAAGCTCAAAACGGCCAATATTTTGGCACGGACAGTTAGTTGTCTCCATGACTGTGATTTTCTATTACATACGTGTAACCTGTTCAGATCTCCATAAGGGTCATGAAGCTCTTAGTACAAAATATAATACAGTTCATCTCATGACCTAGGCACAGTGTCTAGTGGAGGGGCTGAATGTGCAAGAAGTGGACTGGCCAGTCTCTTTTATCTCTAGTGCTATACATGTATCAAAGACAAGCAACGCCTGGAACGAGGCAGACAAGGTCTTCAAGCTCCACACTCACACAGCTCATGCCCAGTCTCTGAGTGAGCAACTGCCAAAACAAAAGTTGTGTGTGAGTCTCAGCACACCTCACTTGCCCACGACTAAGGGGCATGTTACCTTGCTGGCGCATCTTCATGGTCCGTATCCTTATTGCTTCTCCTCGAACTCGCCCTTCACAGAAATACGCACCATTGATTTCACTAGCCTTTTCTCTCTTCCAAACGACTTTTTTAGCCCATTCTCTGGTCACATCTTGAGTAACTTCCAGTGGATCCTGGTGCTGGTTCATTAAGGCTTCAAAGTCCCTTCCTATGGTGATGGGCTCATGGGGGCGCCATCCAGTGGCGATGCAGGTGAGGGATGTTTCCGCATCAGACACGAGAGGTAGGGAATTGATCAAGATCAGGTCCATGGCACTGTCCACTGTTCCTAAAAAGAAAGCACATAATCTATGAGGAAGGTTATTACCATGGCCCCACAGATGAGCTGATTTTTACAAAGCCCTGTCTAAAAATAGCTAGGGAGCAGTCTTTCTTTATTTTTTTTTTATTTTTTTATTTTTATTTATTTATTTATTTATTTTTAATTTTTTTTTTCAACGTTTATTTATTTTTGGGACAGAGAGAGACAGAGCATGAACGGGGGAGGGGCAGAGAGAGAGGGAGACACAGAATCGGAAACAGGCTCCAGGCTCTGAGCCATCAGCCCAGAGCCCGACGCGGGGCTCGAACTCACGGACCGCGAGATCGTGACCTGGCTGAAGTCGGACGCTTAACCGACTGCGCCACCCAGGCGCCCCTAGGGAGCAGTCTTTCTAATGCTACTCTTCCATAGGACAAGATCCAAAACTCTTTACAGTGACCATCACTCAGACGCTACTAACCAGTCCTACTCCACTGCACACCCTAGCTACAATGAGCTATCAGTTATTCTCCATCCCCAAGACAAAGCTGTGTGTTACAAATCTCCACCCACTAAAGCGTCTGGGACATTAGTTAAGAATTCAGCAAATGCTCGTTGAGTTGAGATAAATTCATGATAATAGCATTATTGTCATTATTAATGATAATAATTATCATTATTAAAAATTAATGATAGGGGCACCCGGGTGGCCCAGTTAAGCAGTCAACTCTTGATTTCACCTCAGGACATGATCTCATGGTCATTAGATCAAGCCCCACATCAGGCTCCACGCTAGACGTGGAGCCTGCTCAAGACTGTCTTTCTCCCTCTCTCCCTCTCCCTCTGCACCTCCCCTGCTCACACAGGTATCTGCTCTTCCTTTCAAAACAAATAAAGTAAAAAATTAATAATAATGTGGTACCGCCACAATAAAGCATTCTAAAAAATATATCAACTCTACACACAGCATGCTAAATTTATAGACTCTCGTTGTTACCAAAGACTTGTCCAATTCCATCTTAAGTCCCACAAGACAGGAACTGAGCGAGGTCCACCTTTCTATCTGAGCTTCATTCACTTCGTCTTTAAAACAAGGCTAATAAGACCAATCTTACAGGATTCGTGTGAAGATTAAAGGAGATAAAGTACAAAACTTACTAAGTACTGTGTCTGCTACATACAATGACCACTATTTCAGCTCTCTTTATTGTTTTCTGAACACCTATGTCCAAACCTCAACCCTCTCCAAATGTAGTTAAGAAATCCTATCTGGTCTTTAATAGTTATTCCATAAATAATGAAACACATTTTAGAAAATAAAATCCTTTCTTTTCACTTTCTGTCCCTCCTCTTCTTTCCCTCCCCTACTTCTCTTTTGATGTCCAAAGATTTTAAGATGAACAAATGAAATCTGTGCCCATTCTCTCCTCTTGCTGAGTGTGAAAAACTAGGGATGGAGGATGTTCTGGTCCACGTGATGGTTGGTCCCCAAGTCTACATACAATGATCAGGAGGCTGGACAGGTCAATCACATTGGGTGCCAAGGACCAACCGGGGTCTCAGAGACCTTTGTGAAGATGTCAAGCGATTCAAGTAGACTACATGTTATTTCCTTTAATACCCATTAAATTCTCCCAACAACCCTGTGAGGTGTGCACCATTATCTGACATTTCAATATGAGGAAATGAAGGCTCAAAGGATTGAGTGGCAATTCTGTCTTCCACAGCTACTGAAGTCCTAGCTAGAATTCAAACTCCCATAGATCTTTCAGTTCCTTAGATACACTATGCCCTCTCCTACCTCAAAGACTTTGCACATGCTGATCTCTGCACCTGGCTCTGCTCCTTGCATGGCTAACTTCTGCTCACCCTTGGAGCCTCTTCCTAAACACCTTTCTCACAGATGGCTTCCCTACCTACTTGATCTACACTATCTGTACACTCTCATCCTGTTACCCTCTAAACGGCCTCCTGTTTGTTTCCCGCATAATGGTTACCACACTCTGGGATTATTTTATTTACTTTCTCTTCTCTTAGATGGTAAGTTCCATGAATACAAGGATTGAAGCCATTTTGTTCACATTGACATATATAGGAATACCCTGCCTAGGTCCCTTATGTAAAGGGTTACTAAGCATTTGCTGGATGAGTGAGTGGGTGGGTGGATGGATGGATGGATGGGCAAATTTTATTCCAGATCTGTCTGATTCAAGTTCACCATTCCCACTTCTAGAATAGTAAGGTTAAAAATGAAAGTACTCTTCTGAGTCTAAACTGACCTTCTTGCCCATACGTAAAAGGCTGTTTTGAGAATTAATGGAGTTTAAAAAGCTAATGCTACGATTTTTAGAAAATGCCACAGAGAGGTGATCAATGATTGCGGAGTAACGGGAGCTGACTGGTGTCCCTTTATGAGAACTTTTTTAGCATCTGCTTATGGTAAGCATTACATCTGCCATGAAGTCCTCATACAATTTTTTCTAATGGCAACCACCAATGTTGGGTGCATGCAGTGATGTTCTGAGAATAATTCAGTTAGGAGTTAGACTTTTATCTCATCAATTAGGAAGAATGCCAAAGTGAAGTCTTAATGTAAATGTTAACTCAGTACATGGGACTGAGGGAGAAAACCTCACCTAGAATGAGTTTCCAAGCCTGACCCTGTAGCATCTATGTTGTGTCAAGCCTCAATGGTAACTTTAAGCTCTCCAGAGAAGAGACAGTGGTTGGGATAAGGAAAATGTTGTAAGAGAGGATAAGCTAGGAAAACTAGCAGTGGAATTACAGCCTCTAAATGTAACACTGGAGCACAGCCCCCACTTCCACACGTACATCCAGCTGTGCCTCTGAGCGAACACCACCTCATCTCCTGCGCTCACTCATTCCAGGCATGTCCCCCGAGAGAGTCATCAGAGGAAGGAAACACTGTAATTCTTTCAGCTCCGGTTCAATCCAGCCCCATTTCTAGGATCAGTTGGGTGGCTTGCCAAGACCGAGGGATCTGCTCTGAACTCACTGAACTGCACTGGCACTGGCTGTGGTTTATTTAATGACTTTAGGAAATAAGACAGAAAGCAGTTGATTTGACGAGACAGCCACACTTCATCTGTGGATTGTTTCTGGGTATGGATCTGGTTTCTTTTCCCTTTTGTTCCTCCCAGCTCTCTCCCTCTACTTTGAGTGACAGAAAGGGAGATTGTGTACTAAGAGCACCCAGACTTGGCAATGCTTTCCTACCCTTACTCAGCATGCCAGGGACAGGAAGCCCTCTCCCACCAGTGAGCTCTCTGCCCTTTGTTATGGCATTTACAATAAAGTATCACAAGGATTTTGTATATGAGCTTTGGAAATGAGAAGAAATAACTACCAGATTCCTGGGATGCATCTTAAAAATCTTCAGTTTTCCCAAAACAAGAGCACATATTTGTACTTGTCTGTGTATGCCTGAAGAAATTCTGGAAGGTGACACATGAAACTGAGAACAAGAGGGATCCATTAGAGGAGAGTGGGGTAGTTGGGGGACAGGGTAAGAGGGAGGTTTCTCACCATGTACTTATATATGCTGCTTTTGAACCATTGGAATAATACCTACACATAAAAATTAAATGTAAAAAGTAAGTTATTCCTCTAGCCTTAAAAAGATGCATTTGGGAGGGATTCAAGAGCCACAGGAATATATATGTCTCTCATCAGTGGTCCCCACATCTACCCCAGATCTCCTTGGATTGCATCCAAATAATGCATTCTCTCTTTCTCTCTTTTTTGGACTAATAGGAAATGTGATGTCATTCCACAATGCCAGAGGGAAATACATGGGTTTAAAAAAATTTAAGAACAGAGAGAAGAACAATAGCCACACTTAACCTTTCTTTTTGTTTCAAATTATTGCTTTTTGGGGGGTTTTAATTTATTTTGAGAGGGCGGGGCGTGCATGCACGCACACGCAAACAAGTGAGACAGAGGCAGAGGGAGAGAGAGGGAGAGAGAGAGAATCCCAAGCAGACTCCACACCGTCAGCACAGAGACAGATGTGGGGCTCAATCCTATGAACCAAACCGTGAGATCACGACCTGAGCCAAAACCAAGTCAGACGCTTAACCAACGGAGCCACGCAGGCGCCCCCCACACTTTGCCTCTCAAAGAGAATAATGGAGCAGGGGCCCAAATGCAATGGGTACAGCTGTGGCCTGTGGCTTCTTGAAAGAGTTCAGCCAGTGACACTGAAAGGTGTGACTACAGTCTCATAGCTGGTGCCACAGAGGAATCTGCTACTAGGGACATTTTCCTCAGAAAAATGGCCAAAAGACAGTCCCCCATCTGAGCTCACACCAATATCAGCAACCATGCCTCACATCTTTTCCTCCATCACAGCACGGTCTTCTCTAAGTCCTGCTGGGGACCACTGTGGAGCTATTTTGCCACGAGCCTAGTCTGAAGGGCTCTGCTCAAATTTAGTACTTAGTTCATTACACTTCTTTCATCAAGGCTAAGTTTGCTGTAACTAAGTCTGCATATTGAATTTCACACAGCTTTTATATTCTGGGGATTGGTACTATTTTTCCTTAGCAAAGACCTTGCAAACACTTCTCAATATTTGCCTAAAATGTGTCTTATTTACCTTCCATCATGACATGGCATCCGCCAAGTTCACAAATGATCGTCCATCACAGTGGAGACATAACAACATTCTAAAATGTCATTTTGCTCATTCTATTTTTGGTGTGCTATACAGCCCATCATCTAATCTTTCACAGTAACATTTGCTTATTAAATTGCATGTGGTACACTGAAAATTGCACTTCGATTTTCTCATTCAACATTGCTCTGAATAATACCTCAAAAACCAAGAAATAGAAATATTTTTCTTTAAAAACGGTCACAGAAAAATAGACGCATAGGTCAATGGAACAGAATAGAAAGCCCAGAAATAAACCCCAATTATGTGGTCAATTAATCTTCAACAAAGAAGGCAAGAATATGCCATGGGAAAAAGACAGTCTGACAGCCTCTTCAACAAATGGTGCTGG